AACCCAAAGTGGATAGAAATGAAAAAAGGAGATGTCTACTATGAGAGAGAGAGAGAGGGGCTATAAGTTACCTATCAATAGTTTTAATGGTATCTATATCTATACTAACATATAAAATGAAGTCGCTTTTTTTTTTGTTCGGAATAAACTCTGAAACTACTTATTGGATCGTCGTACAGTTTTTTTTTAATTAAAGAGGACATCACATGGAAGGTTTTAGGCGTAAATTTAGTCCGATAAAGTAAATAAATAATTGGTTATTAGTTATCTATATATATATAAATGGAGCCGAAAATGTATAACATTTCATCAATTGAGAATGACTGGGCCGATTTGGCTCAAATTTTTTTTAATTATTCGTCATTTCCAGGAGAAGGTTTTTAAAAAAAAATTTTGGAAAAGTGCTATTGTAGTTATATTATAGTTTAATTTAATAATTTTTGACCCGATCGAATTATTAAATAAAACTATTTAAAAACTATTAATTTTATTTTTGGTAGTAAATGACGGGTATTGCATAAATATTAAACAAAAAGATCCCGCAACAGGAGCCAAAACAAATAAGAATGTTAGTTCGAAAAATAATTATGCATATCGGTTGATGATTAGACGCGATCAGGACAAAGTTATTCTACGATGTCATGAACTTTGTCAACAATTCATGGTCAAAATTATTTCGATACTTGCGATTCAATCAAAAAAAAGCTGCGTGCAGAAGATTCTCAAAACAGTTGTTAGATATTGGAGATGGGAAAAATACTACACATGAAACGGGATGTATGTTAAATTACCAACCGATTTCTGCACAATCATTTATTCCCAAAATGCTCTCATTGACCAGATATTTCCCAATGTACACAGACAACACACAAATCATGAGTGGCTGGTAGAAAGAGCAATTTTAGTAGCAAAAAATGTGGACGTCAACGAATTGAATCTCAAGGTACAAAATTTGTTACCAGGAGACATGGTGCGATGCTACTGAAGCTGTAAATTATCCAACAGAGTTTTTAAACTCATTGGATTTATCAGGCATGCCACCGCATAATTTACAATTGAATGTTTGATCTCCGGTTATTTTGCTTCGTAATTTGACCCACTACGGTTGTACAACGGCACGCGATAAGTCGTTAAAAAATTAATGAAATATGTTATCGAAGCCATCATTTTAAATGGATAATATAATATAAAGTGGGGAGGAACCATTATTTCCTAATTTTTGATAAACCAGGAACGTGTACTTTAAAGAGAATATTATCTGATTTTTGATTTTGAGTACTAAATAATAAATAAAAATTTACTATTTACTGATTTTAGCATTTGAACATCGGACAAAAAATTGCCGACTTTTTAAAATTTCTTAAAGCGGGGCATTTGTCATAGCCTACCCCCTCTCAATGACGCCCCTTTATGTATAAAAAAAAAGGTTCCTGTTCAGAAAATGTTCCATTTCGATCACTGGTTATAACAATACTTTATACGAGTTTATTTTGTATAGTTAATGGTGTTATGAACAAGCCTAAGTATCCAAATACAATTAATATAAATCACGACACGAGGCGATACAAAAATATTTTAAATATTATTATGATGTTTTTTTTTGGTATCGTATAATGAATTTAAATTGTACTCTCTAACTTTTTAGTCGTAGTGAAATTTCTATTGTCTTAATAAGATTATAACAAATTGCTGACCTTGATTTATGAAAAATATTCACTTAAGCGCTTGATTTTCGATGAACCATCAATGGTATATCATATCATGGAGTATATTCAAGAATGATGCAGGACATAGGAAGCGAATTATTTAATAGTTTAATACTCTTAGAGACTTATCAGACAATTCGAGTGATTTTAAAGAATAAAGAACCTGCAGACAATAAGACATTGTCAATCTTGAGTAACTGGTTAGGCATCATCACAATAACATTTAAAAAGTGCAAACCTACTGAAAAAGAAGATATTCAACTTGTCAAGAAACAAGTTGTAGCATACGGAATCAACGGTCACTATATGTACTATATACATGTATAACCACTATATGTAATTCTAATTATTACCGAGGTAATATTTTGATTTTAGTTTTTTTTTTATCAATTTTTCAATTTATGCTAAAACGAATTTATTTTTTCAATTTTTAGTATAACTGTTGCTTTTTTTGTTTATATTTCTTCGAAGTTTCTTTTTCTTACTTTATCATTTTTGTAATATTTCCTTAAGAATTTTTTGAATTTTATTATACTTCTGTTTTATGAATTTTTACTAATTATTAGAACACATTGATTACTTCTCTATTAATGATTTATTTATTTTATAATTTTTGATTTTTTTTATCTTACTAGAGTTTTTACCTCCATTTTTTTTTTTTTTTTTTTTTTGAAAAAATTTTTAATCACGTTTTTTTTTTTTTTAGCTTAAGTAGACTTTTTTCATCGAATTTTTTTCTTTAAAATATATGTACTACTTATATGACTATAATTTTTGTTTATTATTATTGCATGTACATTATTAAATTATTAATTTATTATTATATACCTTATTTTGATGTTGCAAGTGTTTTTTATATATTGTTATAAATAAACACAAAAAATTTTCAATTATATTTACTTTTTTTACACTAATTTTTTGTTGTGATATTCATGACTTAACGTTCAGTGTATCTCTTCATTGAATTTTTTTTTTATTATACATATACATTTTATATAGCTTTGTAATATGTAATATTATTCTTCGGCAGAATTATATTTTTATTTACATTATTTTATTACTTATTATTTTGTGTATTATGCATGATAATATATGACTAGTTATAAAAATGTATTATTTTGTTTTTTTATTTTATAAATTTGAAAAGAGGTTTAATCTTTTAAATAAATAAATAATTATATTAATTGACAATGTAACAGTTATTTATTTGGTCTGGAGAACTTCATTATTAATGAAAATTTAACTATCGTAAAAATTTGATAGTTAACTATTTATAATACTGATTTTCTAACCAATTAATTACAAAGAGTAAGAAAGAAAATATTACTGGTGAATAAGGATAACAAGATATAATACGATTATTATAATCATTATATTATTGTAAAATAGTAATTTGTTATGCGTTGTGAATAATATATACTTGAAATAACTTTTAAGTCGGTTCAGGTTCAGCGTGGAGTATTCATTGAGTATCCTACATACATGGTGGCCAATCTGCATACTGGATTTGTTTTTATATTAATAATAATGATGAATAATAAATCGATGCATACTAATTGCCAACAAACTACGTCCCAAATTGATAACAGTAGGTAATTTGCATCTGAAGAACTGTTTGGACGCAAGTTACTTGTTAATTATTACCAGAGGTAAGTTTCGTTTAAGCGGTTGGAACGCACCTTGCCTAAATTAGTTCTAAATGAGAATTTTATATAAATTGTTATTTTTAGTAATTATTAAAAAATGTTTGCTATTTTAATATAATTTTAATTTTTTAGCTATATGTAGATAGGACGAAAATAAAACACAGGTATATATAAATTGTTGTATAATTTTTTTTCCAGATATTAATTAATGTTGGTCTAAAAAAAAACCAAAAATGTTATTATAAATTAATATTAGATAAAAATATATGACACACATTAGTTTCAAATAACACACTATTGATTTATTTATTATTAAATTTGGAAATGAGTCACAATACATTTATTTTATCTTTTTAGTCACTCCTATAATTATTTTGTGCTTAATCAAACTGTTCGTAAGAATATAAGTATTAATTTGAAATTTTTGAAGTATTTTAATGATAATGAAAATATTAGGGTATGAGTGAAAAAAATGAAGAATTAATTTAATCAGAAATCAGAAATCAATTCAAATAATTATTTAGAATATAATCGCAAAATAATTGATACATTTTGTTAGCATGGCAAATTATCAGTAGATCATACATAACATTTTTTTTAAAAATAAAAATTTATTATATTTTTGGTTGCGAAAAAATAAGTCCAAAAAACAGTTTCAACATTTTTCATTTTCATAACTGACTTATACTTATTTGATAATCCAAGAGATGAAAAAAAATACCACCTTCAATAAACATAATCAAACAAATAAAAATATTACATTTATAATTCTATGCCTCACCATGTGTGTACTAGGTAAAACCTCCATCCTTTGATATCATCTGTTGGCCATACTTGACATGCAGTTTTGTAAATGGCTTTTTCAAAGTTGGCATAAATATATTTCGGTGAAAATTCAAGTTGAAGGAACAAGCATTTTTCATTTATATAATTAAAAACTTTTAAATATGTATATTTTTTTTATTGAATAATAAAAAGAATGATAAAGGTATGCAATAATCATTTTTAAATCCATATATAGTAAACGTAATGTACATTACGTTTATATAAATTTATGATAATATTGATAATATTAATCTGATTTATCATGGGGAATAATTTTCTTATATAACTCTACAAACGTAATTTTAATATAAATATTTTATAAAAATTAAAAATTGTTTAAGAAAAATTTAACTTAGGAGGAATGCAAAATGATAAGTTTGCCCCTCAATATTATTTTGGAGGGGCAACAGCGGCAAACATGAGAATATCATAGGGATGTAAGTAAATCAAACTTCTAACAACAAAATAAGCTTTGCAATAAATTATATAATATACATTTTATTTAATTAGCCATTAGACATATCAAATGAATTATTACAAGTTGCAATAGTTAATGTTTAAAATGTTATAAAAATATATAAGCTAAGTATTATTCCAAGTCTTGGTAACCTAATATAAATAATATTTATATAATATGAGTGCTATAAAAAATATAATTTATGGTGAGTACAATTATAACTGAAAAAATCAGTATCTTATTTTATTATTTTTTTATTGAAAACTTTTCAATTTTAAAATAATTATCTTATACATAAATTATTTATACGTAAAAACTAATTGACACTTCAATAGTTTCACCTTAAAGGTATAAAATTAAAGTGTCTTGGACGGAAATGGTTACTATATTTCTTATTAACCTCTAATTACTTATTAAGCTAGTACAATCATCTTATAATTATTTCAATTATTCTATAATTTAAGTATACTTCTACATAAAAACTAATTGACACATTAAATGGTTTCACCTTATAGGTGCAATATGATGTGTTCTGGGACGGAATAATCTAAAAATACATGTAGTAAATATAAATAAGTGCTCATAACTTAAAATTCTAGTTGCTATAAATTTTTTAAATATTTTATTAGTTATTAACAATAGTTAATTACTATAGTTATTAATAGTTGTTACGATATCAGTTTTTTAACCTTCCACCAGCATCTTATTATTTTTTTAATCTAAAACAATTATTCTAAATATAATAAATATTATACTTAAACATAAAAACTAGTTGAAACTTTAATGGTTGGACATTATAGGTACAATATTAAAATTTTCTTTGACGGAATAATATAAAAATACAGATGAACAAAAATATATGTTTAGCAATTCAAAATAAGTTTTCTCAGATCTAAATAAGCTAGATGCTATAAAAAATATATATAAACTTTTTCACTTTACAATACAAATTTTTACTCCTAAAATCAGTATCTTATTATTTTTTTTAATTTGAAAAAATTAACCTATAACTAAAATATATTTCTATGAAAAAACTAATCAACACTTTAATAGTTAGACCTTATAGGTAAAATATTAAAATGTTTTTGGACGGAATAATAATTTAAAAATACAGGTATGTAAATAAATGTAAATTATAAATCAATCACAAACGAGTTTTCTTAGTTCTAAGTAAACAAATTCTAAATAAAATAATATAAACTTTTTATATAGTCAGGATTCTTAATCTAAAATAAGCAATATGTTATTATTATTTTAATTTTGGAAATAATAACCTATGGTTTCAGAGAGTAAAATTAAAAGCTTCTTCATTTATAAAGGAAAGATTTCAACTTATAGCATTTAAATATGGTATTAAAGTGATTTTGAACATAAAAAAAATTAAACATACAGACAAACATAATATAAATATGCAGAAATTAAGAATGTAAGATTAACACTAGCAGCTTTAATGCTGGAGCTTTTTAAGTGCGAGAATTGTTGACCACAAGCTGGTGGACATACCGGTATGATTGTTTCTGTAAAATATATAAATGGTATAAATTAATAAAATAGGCTGTAAAACCCACAGTTATGAATTAATTAATGAAAAAAATATTTTCATAACTTATAACTAAATTTTTTTCATAAAAATGTAAAAAATATTATTAAAATATTATTTTAATAAATAAATAATTTATGGACGTTTTTAACATATATGAATACATAAAATATGTAACATGAAAAAATGTATTTAATTTAAACTTATCGTAAGAAATTTAAATTATTTTAAAAATATTAAAATGTAAGTTAATCTACTTATAAATGTATACACTTTATAGAATACTAATACAGTTTTTAAATCTTAAAGAACAAAATAAAATTATTAGTTAAATGTTGGAATTTTAGTCAGTTTACATCTGAAATAATTTTGACAACTATTCAAATATTTTAATTGTTATTCCTTTAAAAAAAAATATAAATATTTTATGGAAATGTAAATATAATATGGAAATGTAAATATAATATTTATTATTTTTAAGATTCTTTACATTATACAGTAATCAATTTGTTTTATAAATGTTTAATATAAATATATCATAATTTCCAAACCAATTCTATACAAATAATTGGTATAATTTCTCATTCTTGTTATGAGTAACAAATGGTCAAGCGATAACTAAAAGATTAAATTATTTTTTATTTTTTTAGTTTTTAGTTAAAGTAGTTTTATAACATATAAGCAGCTAATATTTTTTAGAAAATATTCAAGAAAGATAATAACTAATTTTATTTGTTTTTCGAATAATTTGATAAAGATTAATTAAATTGAAAATATAATATTCACCATAAAGATAAACAGTAGCTTCAGTGGTTCCCAAGACATTGGAAGCTTTGCAGATATATTCACCATACTGACGTTTTTCAATTGTAATTACACGTATTGTGGTGTCTGTAAATTCATCTGCAGTAGCAAAATGTGATATCCTAAATGTAAATGATAACTCATATAGTACTGAATTTCAATTGATCGCATTAATTTTAACATATATATAATTATATATATATACCTGTAATGTTGATTGTTGGTTAATTGAACTCCATTATTTATCCAAACAATAGCTGGAGGAGGATATGCTTCAACGTGACATTCAAGATCCATGTCATACTGCAGAGCTTGTCCAAGACGAGGTTTGGGAACATTTATGACTGGAGCAAATTCTACTTCCACGGCAATATTACGCCGAGCACCTTTGCCAACACCATTTTCAGCAACACAATAATATGTTCCACGATCTTCTTTTGTTATAGTAGCTATTTTTAAAATGTTTCCTCTGCAAGATAAAATATAAATTCAAGAACTATTTTCATCATTATTTTTTTTTTCACATATTATACCTGTATATTGAACCACCTGTAGGTAAAATTGCATTGTTTTCTCGTCTCCACGAAACTCTTGGAATGGGAAAACCACCAGCATAACATTCTAGTTTCACTGGTTGACCCTCATTCACAACCAATGATCTAGTTGAGTTATCAGAAATGATTGCAGGTCGGCGTACTTCTAACTCTACTTCTGCAGATATTTTATTGTTCAATCCAATCAAAACTTGACACCGATAGAAACCAGCATCAGTTTCTTGAATATCTTTAATCTAAAATGATATAAGTTTTAAAAATTAAATAATTAAACATTAAAAAAATGTTATAAAAAACATTTTTCAAAATAAAAATCAAATAATCAAATAAATAATCTTATACCTGTAATGTATAACTAGTGCTGTCGATGTCTTGTCGCAAAGAAAATCTTGAATCTTTGATTATAAGTGTGCTTCCAGTTGAAAGAATAACAGGTTCGGTAACTTTTTCTCTATCGACCTTAACCCATAAAACAGGGAAATCCATAGCATGTAAAACTGAACATGTTAATTCTGCAGTACCACCAATATCTTTAATAGGTTTTTGGGTGATATGTGATATTGTTGGTGTTCTTTGAGAATACACTAAAATAAAAATAAAAATTAAAAAAATAGCTCACAGTTTATAAAATATTTATAATATGTATATTATTTATATAGTGTAGATAAAAAATTGATACATTTTTATCAGCAAACTAACAATTAACATTTATTAAACCTTATATCAACAGGAATACTGACGATTAGCATCAGTGCCGGCGAAAACTATGGGCGATTGCCCAGAGCATCAGCACGAAAGGGGCGCCAAACTGTAAACTATTAAAGTAAAACTCCTGTAGAAAAAAAATCGTCACGAATAATGAAACGACGCGAAAAAATGAAACGGCAGATATGATGTATGGATGGATGCGTGAGTAAAAGTGCGACGGAAATCGCTTGATCAGTTAAATATCTTATGTGCAAGTGTGATGGAGCGTCATTCGCCGAGTTTGTTCTCTTTATTTTATCTATTTCTTCTTTCCTCTTTATGCGGATCTTCGTATTCTGGGACCGCTTGTGTAGGGGCACTGTGTACGGAGCATGCAGGCATTATACGCGCGTGAGCGCTTGTTGTTTGACTACTTGCAGTGAACGGTTATATACTCGTCATACAGCGTTGTACGTACAGCACAAAAAACAGACGCAGATATATACATGAATCCCTATTTCCCTTGCTCACGCCATCACGACCGATTTCGCCAGTTATTTTTCTTTTTTTTGTGTTTGTTATCAGGCCCTGATTTATGCATGTGCAGGCGGTGCACTAGCACAGGGCCCCCAAATTTGAAGGGCTTCTTCGGCTTTCCTATTCTATACTTTGCTACCATAAATAAAAGATATTTTTAATAAGATTTAGTAATTAGTAACTATAACCTATTTAAGGAGGCCGCAGCATGCGTAGTTTTCATACGGTTTACACTAATCACTAATAAGCCATCGATAGTTATATCAGTCGATGAGTTATCAGTCAGTGATAATACTAATAATACTCAATGATAATATCAATGGTAATAATGTTTATAAACAATAAAAACCACTTACCAAAAACTAAGACTTTTAAGTCTGTGATTTATTGTAGTTATTTATTATTTATAATGTCATCCAAAAGAAAATATGCTTCTGGATATGAAAAAAGAAAGTTGAAAAACAATAGTGAAAAAGAAAACAAAAAGTTAAGCGGTTCACTATCAAAATCTGTTAACTGCTCTTCCTCTGAAACTGTAGCCCCCAAAGTTAATAGTGCACAGGGTCCCTATTTCACTAAATCAGGGCCTGTTTGTTATTGTCAGGAGAAAGTTCTTATGAAAGAAAAAATTAAGAAAATTGCGCAGAAAATTAGAAAATTTAAGAGTATTAGGTATTAATAAATTTAAGGTTTTCAACTTAAATTTTTAAGTTTCAAGTTTAAGATTAAGAGCGCCAAGACATGGTTACACCAAAGGCACCCATTACTTCAAAATACGAAATATTTTAGTAGAAAAATAGTGTCATCTATTTTAGACTTGAAACAGTGGAAAAAATTGTTTTTGGAAAATGATTCCATGTACAATTTAATTGAATTAAATATTTTTTGGTGTTTCAAATTGTTTCTATAATTTCAAACAAAGTATTATTTAAAATTTTATTCTTACTAAAATTTAAAAATATACTTATAATAATCAGTACCGGATTACCCATTAGGCTGAGTAGACGCCCGCCTTAGGGCCTCACTCATTTTAAGGGCTCTGTGAAAACAAAAAACTATATTTTATTTCATTAAATAATACCTGTATTTTATTTACGAATTCACGGAACAAAATTCATTATGAAATATAATATGTATATATATATATATATATGGTATATATTATGTTATAGGTGTTATATGCAGTAATAATAATACAATTATTTTGAAAAAAATAGAAATAATATAATAATTAATTAAATTTTCTTGCTAATAAAAAAATGTAATAAAAATGATTTTATTTATTAATAATAGTTGATTATTATTAGAGCTGTTTATTTCAATTATCGGATAGTAGTGTTAAAAATGTATGTAAAAATAATTTTGTAGGGCTCACAAAATTTTAATCCGGCACTGATAATTAATTTTAGCGATAAGTTTCTGTTTTGTTAGTGAATATTAATCATATCACAACAAATATTCAAAGTTCTAAAAAATAATATTAGACTAATAAAAAAATAATAAATACATCACTTATGTAACTTATTGGTATAAATAAAATGAAACATTGGACCATTATTTTATAATAATTTGTGCGAGATTATTGAAATAAACATGAATAATATTTGTTATTGTAAAATTATTAAAAATGTATGTTAAGAATACAACATAAAAATTAAGTTCCTCCTATAAATTATGATTTTATGTAACTTCTATGAACTATGAGCTATCGTAATTACATTATTTTTATTATTGATTTTAATTTGTTTTTATAAAGTTATTTAAATACACTTTTATATAATACATAATGTATATTATATATATTATAACCTGATGGTAGCTTATAGTCGAAAGCAGTAGCTAACTTATTTTATTTTATTATACTTTATTAGTAAAATTTTAATATTTCTCTAATATTATATTATGCCTATATTATACTCGTATACAGTTTTTATGTATAATCTTTCATTAAAATTAAACAAGCTTATAAATATTAAACATTTAGCAGTACATATTAATTAAACTGTAATGGACAGTTAAATTTACCAATTATATTTTAAGTGACTTGGTATCATAAAAAAATTAGATTCTAAAATACTAAAAATAAAGATGATCTTGACTATGATTATAGAAATAATATGAATTTAATTGCACAATATTTTATGAAAACTATGTGAAGACAGAATATTTAAAAAAACTAACAAATTAAATGTAAAATGTACATTGACAAATTTTAATTGGTTAATAAGTTCAATATGATCAAAAAATTATGTTACCTGCAACTTTTACCTGATAAAAAGATTACAAAATTATTTACCACTCTATGCTAAATTGTATACTCAATCTTAATAATAATATCAGTCATTAGTGTGGCTCAATTTCAGGGCATAATGAAACATTGGAAAACATTTAGTACATAATTAAGTGTACCTATTTTGTAGTAGTCTAAAGGTTGAAGAACTATGTGAATTGCAAAAAAAATCAATTGTTATATATAAAACAATCAACGATAGCTTAAATAACTCATCAAATTATAAATATAATCAAACAGTAACTATCTTTCAAAAATTGTCACAACCAAGTTTTTAGTGTCGTAAAAAGAGATTTCTAAAAGTTTTGCTCGATTAGAGCCACAAGCGGTAACGAGTATTTTACTCCGTCGTTAATAAGCTGTCCACGTACGTACGTAATTTAAGCAGTTATAGGCGGTACTACGGGAGAATAGGCTTTTTCCCTTTTGCGAGTTCTTACTAACCCTATAAATTTAAAATATTAGTTAGGTTAAGCCCCTCACTCTCAGGCCCCTCAGCTTATTTAGAGCTTAACTGGCACGGTTGAAGATATTAATATTATTATCAGGGACTAGAACTGTACCGAAAAGGACCCTTTGAATATTAGACACCAGAACATAGCTAGACCCCTAATTAGAATTTTTTTAATAACCGGAACTCACCAGAACCAGTACTTTTTTTATGAATGTTTTTACGGTTAATTTCAGTTTTTTTTATAATTTCGTCATCAGTAGGTAATAATAAGGTACTTACGTATCATTTTTATTATTAACATTCAAAAATAATCAATCAAGTACCTACAGAATTCAAACGTCTGATTATAAAATATTTCTACACAACTGATATCAATGTATCAATGTATATTTATAATAGGAATTGAAACAAAAATAAGTCATTTTATTTACTGCGTAGTATCATCTAGAAACCTTTACTCCTATAGGTATTCTAATTATCACAATAACAAGAAATTTTGATTACATGTTTATAAATAGAGCTCGGATGTTAATGACCAAAATTCCATAAAAATATGCAATTATATACCATAAAATGTTTTAAAAATACCTATTTTTTCAACAAATATATGCGAAAAAATAGTATTAATTCTTAAAATGTATATACTCTTTTGAATGTGTATTTAAAATTACTTTATTACAAAAAACACAGCTAATAAATATGAAAAAAAATATTAATTAGTTTTCGATCTATTTAAGTTAAATTTTCCATAGATTAAGCTTTGTAAGTATCAGGATTACGCTACACAATAATTTTGCTGATATTTTCAAACTTAAAGGACCTTTGACGATCCGACAGTTAGTTTTTGTAGACTGAAAATGACATAATTAACGGTAATGATAATTTAAAATAATATGGACAGTTTTTAATATTATACATATAATTTATAAAATATATGCTACCTACTTAATCTAGAAACAATCGATATATACTCGTACATTTATCGGCTCAGAAATGTAAAATATGAAAAATAAGTTTGCATATTTGCAATCGAGATTTCATAAATGGAATTTATATCATATTACGGTATAACTCTGGTTGCGCGAAAAAAATATTCCAAGTCATAAACATTCGAGCTCTATTTATAAATAACTAGACATGTTATGATTGTGACTATTGGTATTTAATGTACAGCCTAAGCGATTAACACATTTCTGTCATTGTTAGTGTTTTTACTTAGTTACGCATAGATAAAACATTAAAGTTTTAAAAACGCAGCGTTTAAACATCAAAAGTTAAACACGCGTGTGTAGAACTCAATACATTATTATGGGCATAGAACGATATTGTTATGGGTAGTCCGAAAAGATCAAAAATGAATTTATATTATAAAAAATATTATTAATTTATTATTAATTATATTGATTTTATGAATAGATCATCAATAAATATTAAAAGATTTTCAACTAATATTATTATTATTATTATTAAGTATTCTAAAATGTTTTAATATTCACTTATCTATCACAGATTATTTTAAAATAAAACATATATATATTATAATTATCATAATAAATGAATGTCTACAAGGTAAAGTAATCAGACATTCCTATGTACTATCTATTAAATACCTCAAACACAAATCTATTCTTAAACAAATATAGTATGCGGTAATTAAAAAAAAGATTGGTGTATATTTTAAAGATTTAAATACTGATCACTGATATCTTTAACAAGAAGCAATTCGAAAATGATATATAAAAATCAATGTAGAAGCTATAAAAATCAAAAAAGTTTGTTTGAAATTGCATTAAGTGACAGTGATGAGTCAATTTTTTACTTATTTGATCCTCTTCTAAGCTATTGGTAGGATATCTGACTGAAAATAAGTATTTAACGCCATAATTATCGCCAATTAACATTACTGATATTTTATTATATTTTTTAAATAATCGAAACAAAAATGTTAACAAATTTTTAATTTTTAAAAAACCCAAAAATCAACCAGCGATTTTTTTTCTAGGAACCGAAATCGGAAAATATATCAAGGTTCCAGTTCCTAATTATTATCTATAATTGTGAGAGCCAATGCACCACGATTAAGATCGTATCTATAATTGTGATTTGCGCCAACATTTTCAATACTATCATAATTTGTTATAAATTGATAAATTATTAAGCAATATTATTATTTAATTATATACTCTACGTCACAAACGTTTTGTTTGAACTTATATTTTGATGTAGAGTGTTTATTATTTCATATTTTTGCGTGTCTTGGATGATATGGATTTTAAACACAAACCAAAATAAAAAAAAAATTAAAACTTTATATGACTTTTTTAAACAAAAACCATCAAAGGTGAATTATAGTAAGTTATTATTTAAAAAATGTATAAAATAAAATAATATAAATTTAGTAATTGATAATTGTATTACTTATTAACAAAAAAATCTTATACAAGTCGCTTTTAAGGATTTATTAAGTGTAGAATTTTTAATAAACCATTATAGATATCTACTTTAGTATTCATATAGGTAATATTTTTAAATAATTTTGTTAGAAACTATATTATATTGACTGATTCTCACTTTGATTATACATTAGTAGAAACTTGTAATTTAATAAGAATTATTTAATTTATTATTAATTTAGAATTTTAATTTAATTTGAATTATTAATTTAGGTGATATTAATCTAAATGAACCAGACAATCCAGTATCATGAAAACAAAATACTTATGATAAGGCTGAACAATCAAACAAATCATAACGATTGGTCAAATACTGTTGATAAACCATTAGAAATTTGTACAAATATTTCTAAAAATGCTGTCTGTGATTTATGTTGGCTATTTGTGTTCATTGTATCTTTTTTTTATATATTATAAACATTAATAACCAATAATTGTAAATAGATTAATTCAAAATTGTTACTAGTAATTAAGTAGGTTTAGTATATTTGTATATTATTTATGTTTAATTATAAAATATTGTTGTGTGTGGTTTTATAATACTAATCCATTTAAATGTATTAATTGTATATTAAGTCTTAACCATCAATTTGTTACAAAAATCTTTGTTTGAATTAATTCCAACTTTTGTGCATACATTTTTCTAACACTGTATAATAACTAATAAATTGATATTGTATTTATTATTAAATATATAGATCATATGTATTTGTGAAGATTGAAAAAGGTAGTTAAAGTATAATTTTTATTGTTGAATTAACTATGTACTTAGTATTTATTAACTATTATTAGTACCCAATATTGAGTATATGTTGAGAAAAAAAAACAAAATTTAATAAATAAAAAATAATTCAACGTGTTATAGATGTATCATGTTTTTTGGACATTGGTGGAAAGCCCCTAACCGATTTTTTGTACGTACAGTGAAAAGAAAGATAATGCTAATAAAGGTTTTACTTTTGGGAATAATAATTTTTTTGAAAAAATATGATCCTATATTACAAAAACATTTTAAAATAGCACCGAAAAATTCTCTATATTATAGTGATTACGTACAAAATTATATTATTGCACTAATCAGTATTGTGATTAAATAACAATTAAAAAATGTGTTATAAAATGAAAAGTTCTCAATAATGGCAGATGAAACCAATGACATCTGTCACCATGAACAATTATCCATTGTAGTTGGATATTTTGATAATAAGAAAAATAGATACCATCAAAACATTAAAAGCAGTTGAGAGATATACAGAGCTTTAATAATGCAATAATAATAACAAAAAATAAATAATAACTATATTTTTTAAAATTGTTTAAATTAAAAACTTATTTTTACATTTAAAACAATTTTAATTTTTAGTATATAAAGAGGAAATAACCAGTTTGGCAGTTTCAGTGTTAGAAAAGAAAATGTTCGAAATGTTTTGGTGAATTATCTCTTCTGATTTAATCTATAAGTAGTGTAACTATCCTATTATTTTGAGCCAGTTAGTGTGTATAATTTAGCAATGATGGATTTGAGAGAGTAACAAGATAAACACCACCTCAATGGATCGAACCAAAATATTGTACTGCCCCCCGACAACAAAAGTCTAATACTGCTTATATGAACAGTTCTACCAAATGCACGACTTTCAACATTGTCCGAATAGTCGTAAGCACGTTAGCACACGTCAGCTCCTAGGCAAAAGTTCGTCCCAATGAACTTTTTTTTTCTAAATCAACTCCAGAGTGGCAGGCCACGCCCGAGTTCCTGTTGTTCGGCGGACGTTTACGATCCGGCACCGCGGAAATAATATTATTACTCACCCAAATTGATGGCGAGCACCACGAGAACGCAGTGAAAATGATTCATCATGGCACGGGTTTTTCTCGACTTCCGGTTTGTAAATCGAAACGGCAGTGGTCAGGCGATGGAGCGGTAGTTGTGGAATGACGATGGTGATGATTAACGGCGAGACATCGTCGCGATCATAAGAACAAAGAGGAAACCAAAGGTCGATCGAACGTTCGAACGTGTTCGTTCAACAAAGTGGACTGAAAACAGTCAACATCGTTCGGGACGGCCGTGGTAATGGTAGACAATTACAATGTTATTATGTTATTAACGCTCAGCCCACTTGTGGAATGCACCTGTTATCAGGTGACGCTAACCACGAAGTTTCTCACCACCATAGACAACCACTGATAATGATAAGGATGTTCGTCGGCGGCGGGAAATTCATTCGAAACTTGGTTTCGTTTTTGTTCAATTTTAATTATCGTTCCGATCCTGTTATTGCGGGGATTATCGGGGGTCGTAACGGTTTATAACATGTCGGATTTCCGTTGCTAAACAAATGATTGATTTACCGCCGCCACTAGACGCCCATTGTTATCACGTAGACCTTATGCAAATTATTAACCGATCACGATGGTACGGCGGGGTACAGTGGCACAGGCGAAAGAAGTAACGCAAGAACTATGGCGAGGGGGTGACCGCCCTTCCGCCACTGATTGGGCATCGCCAGTGATTCTGTGAGACACAGTCTGTCTTCGAAACTGTGTACTAGATGTTTTTGAGTTTAACAAGTTTATTCTAAGACCGTGGTTTAAAGTATAATGCTCCAAAAGCAGTTGTGCGTTGAAGGCGAGGTCTAGCGTGCACAAGAGAGAGAAATAGAGTTAAGAAAGACCGGCTACATTTGAGCGCGCAAGATGATTGATTTCTTTTGTAAAATGAGTGTTTGATTTTTTTTTTTTTAATTTTCAAGCAATGTTATTTTAATCAAAAGCGAATGCGATTTCAATAACAAAAAATGTAAAAGTTTTGATTAATAGCTGTATAAAAAACTCTAGTAACAATTTAAGTACCTACTTATTTTTAGGTACCTATTATCGTATTACAGTATTTGTTATCCATATCATTGCCTCTTGCAGTGATACGATTCGAGATTGATAACAAATAATAATTTCATGATCCTGTCTTGTGATTCGTACTGCCATTCCGGTATTTCCAGCCCATCGTCTTAGCCGATTGAAGCCTTGTTCTGAATTTGGAATGAAATAATTAATTACATTTTTGTATTTATATAAGTATTACACTCGTTGTGTTATTATGTATAATATATAATCAACCGATTTGCAATATCGATTCTTAAGATGCAGAACAATTCTGAAAAACACAACCTGGAAAATCGTAAGTACCAAAAAATGTAATAACGTTGTAATAAAACTTTGTACAAAATCCAACTAAACGTATTGGCCAAATTCTGTTTACTTGTGAGATTGAATTTGTATTAATATCGATGTTCATACATAATTATTACATATTTACATACATAATTGAGTTCAGAACTTATCAAAATCATTGAATTAAGATATTTTTGAGTAAACACGTCTATAATATTTGAGTATTTTAAAAGTAACGAGAAAAACAAAACTCTTATATTTTTATTCTAATACTGTTCAAGTGATAAAAAATGTTGATGGTTGTTGTACGACAATTTGTTGTTAAGTGTGGACTTCTTCATAATCACTTGTCTTTCGAGCATGATCAATCCTCCATCCTACCTCTTCCATGAATTAAATTTCCTTTTGTATGTTTTATTGGAAAGGTCTAGTGCTAATTGGTCCATAATTTAAGATTCTATTAATATTTATTTTTAATTTTCTATATTTTAGCTTTTCATGATATGTATTCTAGATGTTTTGGCCTATATTTTATGCTTTTAGTTTTATATTTTTATTTATTATAAATGTATTACTTTATAGTTGAATTTTTAAATAAAAACCTTTTATATTTTTAGATGATGAAAGTAATAAACTAGTGGAATTATTCAAGAATGTGTTAAATATTCACGCAGATCGGTTGGAAGAAATACATTTATTAAAAGCCAAGTTATTTTTTTATAAGCTACCAGTTAACATAGAGGTACATTTTGTAATCATTTTATTATAATGACATATTATTGCTATTCATTTTTATACATAATTATTATTAGATATAGAATATCAAAATTTAAATAACAATTTGTTTTAATATTTATTTTTACTCAAAAGTATTGAAATAAACACAAATATAGGCATAATATTTTTATTTAAGAGTAATAATTTAAGGATAGCAAACAAAATGTATATAATGTAAAGTTAAGAATAATGCATAAAATATAGCTACTATATTATACATATATTATAAATAAATTATCTAAAAATAAAAATTATTAGCAACCAGTTTATTTATGATTCTTAAAGCACCTGTATAATTAATTACAGTAATTAATATAATCATTTAAGCTATAACCTAGTTAAAAATAAGAAAAAATTATTGTACCAAATACTAAAACTGTATATTATTGACAATTTTATAATATTTTAATGTAAATCTTTTGGTTTCAAAATAATAACATTTCATGATAAATATGACTAATTTATTTGAAGTTAAAATCTTGGCTAATTAGGTATATGAAAAAGTAAACTACAAATTAATCAATTTGCATGAAAAAATGCAGTAAATATTTTAATTGTATAATTTAATTACATTATTTTAATATTTTAGACGGAAGTTACAGATGTTAAAATTGATGAATTGTTGGACATTGATAATAATGTTTTGAGTACAATACTGAAAATATTTTCAACTTTAAATTCAGAAATATTGTTTTTTAAAAATGATGTTAAAGTCAAATTATTTAATTCCATACTTTATTATGAAGAATCTGGTAAGGAAAATAATTAATCAAATGTTTGTATATAAAGTGAATGATTATCACATATAATTTTTATATTTAGAAGAAGATAAGACTACCGAAGGTTTAATACAAGTTGAAATGAGCAAATTTTTACACATTTTATTGGAGCTGTCAAATTTTGTTCGACATTGTGAATATTTGCTAAGTGAAATTCATTGTCAATTTTTCAATATTTATGAATTTCAGTTAATAACTGCTGACATACATTTCCAAGTAAAAATATTATTTATTTATTTTTTGACCAAAATAAAATTCATAAATTAAGTTATTCAAAATCACAGTATCTAGTTAATTCTGTCATATTAACCACAATTAGATATACATTTATGGTTTAAAAATTCTGATTTTTTTATTATACATTATACAATACTTAATGCATGTTGACAGTTACAGTATAACTGTCTCACATCATTGACTTGTCAGAATTTTCTAGGCAAATTTTTAGATTAGATAATATAAGCTATAAGTCTGTTATTGTTTAAATCATAATAATAATATTTATCATAGTTTATTGATGACAAATATTTCTATTCAAAGAGCAAAATTTCGTAATTATAAATGAATTATGTGTGTTATCAACATTATTCTTTAGTTTATCAAAAAAAAAAAAAAAAAAAAGAATCATCGACAAATATAACGTTTTATATTGAATGATAATTTATTTATTATTATTATTATTATTATAGTTATTGTAATTATTATATTTATTATAATTTTTACTTTTTTTTTTTTTATAGGGTATATTTGAACATATTGGTGATTTACTTTTTATTTTTGTTGAATTGGATAAATTTATTGTATCACAACCTGTGCTACAACAACACTGGATTCAATATCGAGGATGTTTAAATAATATAAAAGAGGATCCAGCTAAATATGATTGTAACAATAATGACATTGTTCATTTAGAACATATTTGCAATGATATTGAATCCACTTTATTATCTGGAAAAATTTTTGAAGTATGTTATGTGAAACATTTAGTATATTACAAAGCCTATATTACAAAATTATTTTTTTAAGTTATTTATTTGTATTTGATGGTTTTTGAAATTATTTTAATTTTCTTTGTATGATAATTTAAAGAATAATTTTGGAAAAATTATTTATAGTTAAAAAAGGTTTAATAATCTTTTTTTTCTTAATATTAATTATATTTATTATATTATATTATATCTTAATATTAAGTACAAAATAATTTAATCTTTGATTTTTTCAAAATATTCATTTTTGTTTATGTACTATTTAAAGTTAATGGTTTTTGTATATTTTTTTTTAGAGAGTATTGTCATCAGATTTTATTGGAAAGAAAAATATTCAGGCATGTGATAATTTTGTAAATGAGTTTAAACTTTATTTAAATAATTCTGTACTACTAATGGGACAACATTCTTACCAAAAGTGTAATGATCCACTTCAAATGTGGTCACGTGTTTGCTCAACTACTGTATTTTATACTTATATATTTGGTGTTTTTGACAAGAAATTGCTTAAGCAGTTTATGGATTTATTAGAAAAAGTAACTTAATATTTTCTTATTTTGATTTTGAAATATGTAGAATATAATTATAACAAATATTTAGACGAATCATATTCCATTGGGCGGTAATATAATGTGGGATCCAGAAACATTTGTTTTACATTATATAGGGCATTTACTCAAGCCTAACTGTGATAAGACAAAACAAGAAAATTTGAAAAAATGTGCCTTGGAATTAACAGATATGACGAAAAATTTTTCAAAAATTATATCTAATCATGTAAAAGAGGTCAGTAGAATATGAAAAATTATAACGTATTTTTATTTATTAAAATTGTGTATTGGATATAAATTATTAATGTGTTGAACATTTTTTCTTTTTATAAAAATATACCTTTTCCATACTACTATTTTTAATTATACTACAGAAAATGTATGAGATTTTATATCTACTTTAATTGTTGATGTGTAATATTTTTCTTATCACGTTTGTTGACTAACTAAATCTGAATAAAGGATGTCAATGAAGATAGTACTTTTATTTTTTTGTGGTCTATTGTAATATAAAGTGTCAAAAGTTTATGATAGATATAAATAAAATTTTCCCTTAAGAAAATGTATAGTTTCTTGAAATTAAAGTGCCATTTTTTTAATTTTCTATCCAGGTACTTGTTTGGTTTTTAAAAACTATGGATGTAAAATATGTTGATCGTCTTGCCTTAAATGCAGATTATGTGCAGGACATTTGCAACTTTTTGAATGAGGTAATTTTTTTTTTTTTTAACTTATTGGAGAAGGTTAAAAAAATTTAAATTAACTAATCTTTTTCTGTTTTATGATACATAAAAATTATAAACGTAAATAATATGCATGTATATTTAATTTATTGTTTTAAGGTTCAAGGTCTTTATTTTTATTTTAAATATTATAATAATTGTTTTTTTTTTGAACTTATATAGGGTATTCGACTGAGTGCATCTATTAAAAATACATTGGTGACTTTTACAAACTTGCATAGTACACTTGGTAAACCAATAATCAAATCCAATGTTGCTTCAATCTGTAAATTACTGCAAATGATGAAAGATATTAATTATGTTTATCAAAGAGATCATATTAAAATGAATAAACTAATAACAGATATAATTCAATATTATGAATTTTTATGTCTAACTATCATTAATGAAGCTAAAGTAAGCATCTGTATTTATAATTTTAATAGTGTTTTTTAATAGGTATAACATTTAAAAAAATTTTATCATTTTTAATTAATTTTTATTACTAATACAGTAGAACCTTGTTTTATTAAACAAATTTGTACACAAATTTTATTTTATTAATAACTATTTTCGAAAAGGCTATAGCAAATACTAAAAACACACCAAATACTATGGAACAAATTAGACAGAATTGAAAATGTCCTATATATATATATATATATATTAGTTATAACGTGATTAGATAAATATAATTGTTGAAGAACCTCTAATAAGTCTCTATTAATATTAAATAACTCTTATCTACCTGTGACATATATGGCCATATTTTTATTGTCTAAAAGGTCGTTTACGTTTTTCGATAATGTATATTATGTACATAATATAAAAATATGTTTATCCGACCTAATAAAACTTTTTAAACAAATAATTTTAAACAACGATAATCTTGGAAGAGTGTGCACAGTTAATTGCAAACATAGATAACAGAGACATAGTTAATCGAGGTTCCACTGTATTTGTTTAAAATTGTTTTATACTTATCATATATGCTTTGTGTATTATTATATTAATATTAATAACTAAATTATTTATCTGTATTCACAGGTTCAAAAAAATATTACATTTTAATACGTTTTGTTTAAGTTATATTATTAATTATGTTTAGATTTCTTGTGCGGACAATAGAAACTTTAACACTAAAAACGTGGATCGATTGTCATCTTTAGAAGTAGCTGAAAAACTATTTCATGGGGCTAATGTAAAACATCGATTATTATTAATAAAATTAGCTTTGAATACAGCAAATGGCTTGGAAGCATTTCAGAAGGCACAACTTCTTAATTTAACAGAACATTTGAAGAATATAGATCTTCTTCAACTACTACAGGATAAAATAAAAAACATTTCAGAAATGAGTGTTATGTACTGGCATCGTGCTATATTTTCTTTATATTTTCAAAGTATCAACAAACAACACAAAAATTTTAATAGTTTATGTGTAAGTTTTAGAAGTATCATTAACTTATTGTATAAATTAACCTAATTTTTTGTATAAACTATAATTTTTTCATATTTTTTTTATGCAGACAACATTTGATTCTCTAAATGATATTTTAGTAGTGTCAAATTTTAGCGATCAAGTTACGAAACAACAGGTATATAAATCATTTGTTGATGAAATGCGTGATTATTTAAATTGTCAGGTAATAATTGTTTATATTATTTAATTATATATATATGTTTAAATATTATTTATTTATATAAATTGTCAATAAAATAAAAGTCTCACTTTAAAAAATATTTATGTTGTGATTTTAAATCATGAATTACAATTAATTTTATAATTTTAAATTAAATTTATTTATTTGTGTTATGTTAAAAAAAATACTCATATTTTTTTTTAGGAATGTAAACCAGTTAATTCTTTAAAATAATTATTATATGTATAAATACATAGATAAGTATGATTAAATATTGCTTTTATATATAATTTATATATTTATTAGATTTTACAACCTATGAACCCAACTATTGAAAATGAATTGCGACTTCAAGTCATGACTAATATTCATTCTGAAAGGATATTTCTCAATCAACCAATCGATGAGAACATCAGTACAATAACTCTTCAACCTTTGCAATTTTTGAATAGTATTATAAATACTAAAAGTATGTTAATTATTTACTATAAAAAATATGATAACAATTTATTCTGTGTTATGTAGATAGAGCAGAAAATTACCTGAGTGAAACATTTTATGATTTAACCTCTGTTGCACTTCATGATTGGCATAATAATGGTGTTATGAGAACTTTAGCTAAGTATAAATATAATTTGGAAACCATTGATGATAAATTACCAAATCACACTCTAGATCAAGTTAATGGATGGAAATGTTTATAAGTAGGCAATGTGTTAATATATTTACTATATTTTAGGGAATAGATGTACTTGAAATAATGAGAAATTTAAATGTGTTTGTAACTAAATATTCATACAGTTTATGTCATCAAATATTTATTGAAAATGAAAGTAATAGTAAATATTTGAATACAATAAATATCCAGCATATTAGCAATTCAATTCGAATACATGGAACTGGAATAATGAGTACTACAGTAAGTATATGATTGTTTGACTTATTATTCATATTAATAATTATTAATAATAACCATATTGGAATAATTATTTTTGCATTATTACAAGTATATATATATATATTATAACTAAAATGTCTTTTTGATGATGCTCATTGTACTTAAAATGTACTCTTTTTGCCTTCAACATTTTTTTTTATTTCCTATTTTATATTTATTCTACTTAAATATTCACTCATATTACTTTTGGGTAATGCAAATGTTAATTATTAAAAATTTATAATTTTGCATTGTACCAATTATATAATTTTGCTTTTTTATTTTAGGTAAATATAACATATCAACTTCTTTGTGGAAAATTATACTCGTTATCAAAATATTTGTATGACGAACGCGTGAAATCAAAACTTAAAAAAGAAATCAACTTTTTTAATGAAATTCAAAAAACTAATAATATGAAGTACCCATTAGAACGTGCAGAAAAATGTTACTCAAGTTTAAGGAAGCTGAGCTTGGATACTAATCAAAATTATGTTGATCAATTTAGAATACTAGTTACTCATATAGGTAAAAAAATTTACAATTATTCAAACTATATTACTACATCAAAGCATCAAATGGAAATAACATATGTACAATAACAATATGTACTTGTTATTTATGTATTTTCAAGTTCAAAGACATACATACTACAATACTTGCCATTATAATGACACTATTGTGCTTTTCAGGTAATGCTCTTGGTTATGTGAGGATGGTTAAATCTGGTGGATTAAATTTCTGTGCCATGGCAAGTGCTTTCATACCAGATTTGAAAAATACTGTTAATTTTGAAGAACTTTGTAGAAATTCAGGATTTTTCCAACATTGTATAGATTCTGCACGTCAACTTGATAATGTTGTGCAAAGTCTTCGTCAAAATATGTCAGAGGGTACAAATTATTTCAAGGTAAAATTAATCAGTCAAATTAATAAATACTTTGTGATAAACTTTCATAATTTTATAAAAAAAATGTATTATAAATTATGTTGCAAAATATTTTACTCTCATTAATATACTTTAATAGTTCAAAATATTTTTTTCCTTTTTATTATACTTATTAATTATTTTGATGGTTGTATAGTTTTTATTAGGATGACATAATTTTTGTAATGTAGTTTATGAAATAATTATTTAAATGTTACAGTTGTTAATTGATGTTTTTGTCCAAGCCATGAGTAGTGAAAATAATTCACATGTGCATAACTTTTACATACTTATTCCTGCACTGACGTTAAATTATATTGAACATTCAATAAATTCAAAAGAAAAAATATTTAAAAAAAATAAAGGAGGAATGTTTACAGATGACGGATTCGCCGTAGGTAAGAAAATTTATTTAAAAAAATAATATTATATTATATGTTATTAATTAATATAATAAATCTCCTTAATTCTATGAATATTAAGTAATAAAAATAACCTTATAATTGATATCACTGGTAGGTATTGCTTATTTATTGCGTATATTCGACTCAAAGAATAAGTTTGACTCATTAAAGTGGTTCCAGTCTGTATCTGAAAATTATGAGCAAAAATTAAATTCACTTAAAGACCAAGAAATGATAGCATTGAAACATGATGCAAAGCTACAACAACCTCTAAGTTTGTCTTACTCAAGACTTGAAGTTTATCATAAAGTAAAATTTTGATTATTTTTTTACTTTATTGGTTTTAAATTTAATAATATCTTTTAATTTCAGGAATTCATGCTATTATATTACAACATAAATAGCACACGAATATTTTTCCAATCAAAAATATCAACTAATTGAGAAAATATGTAATTTATACTTCAAAATGGTATGTTGTCCTATTACTTTTTTTTCTTATAATTTATATTTATAATTAGTACACATTTAGTTTATTATTGAGTTTTGTTGCAATGTATTTTTATGTCCTGTTCAAGTTTATATTATTTAACAAAAAAAGTTTATTATGGTTTTTGGAATGAATAAATGTAAAATATGAAATAAAATATTTTCAATTGTAATCCAATTCCTTATTTTTCTGTACAATTCATGTTTATATAATTATATAAAAAAATATTTATCATGATTTTTTAAATGAATAAATGTAAGTAAAATAAATTAAGTATTTTCGATTATAACCTTACTTTCATATATAATAAAAGTTAATATTTGTCCTGTATAATTTTCTTTTATTTTATATCTTCAAGAAATATACGAGTACATTATAATGCTGTATCTACAACAGTATTGTCATTCTTGTTTGAAAAAGTTATCATCCATTGTGTATGGAGTTAAAAACGTTTCCTAATTATAATAAATCTACAAATTATAATCAAACCAGGACTCACTCTAATTATAAAAAAGGAATCTTACTTAATTAATGAAACCTGATGTTAATACTATTAACTGATCTTATTTCAAATTTTGACTAAGTAAACTATCTGAGTACTATTAAGTACTGCTTGGTTTAAGTAGATATTATTAAACATTTATTAAACTTTCAGCAAATATGAAATTAGAATCTCATATATTAAATTGAAACATACTAATTTTGAATAAGAAATAGAAAAAATAATAAGCATTATTAATAACGCGGTGGTGATTAAGAATCTTGTCAAAATATTAAAATTTTTGGTATTCTTATGACAGATAATGAAAATATTTCTAAGCTTATCGGAATCATTGAATGTCTCAGTCTGTATAAATTATATTGTCAGAACTTACAGTTTTGTATTCTGAAACTCGTTCAAATTTTTCAAATACTGCAAATAATGCAAACGAAAATTACTTATATATTATTTTGCCAAACAGAAAATTTAAAACTAAAGATCAACTTATGAAAAAAGATTTATTTTAATTGACTGAATTATTTTCTAAATTCTACAACTTATTTCATATGGGCTATCCAAATCGTAATCACCTTAAAACGTGAAAAAGGAAATTGCAGTAATATGATAATCATAATTTAATATTGTATTAACTCTTACTATACTCGCACATCTGTAATGTAAGAATGTTGATCGGTAAAAAATTGTTATTCATAACCATTCATAATTTTTCATAAATTCCATATCTCTGCTAATAAAAATAATTGTCTTTTAAATTAAAATAGTGATCTAAATAACATTAAATTTCTGGTACTTTAAAAGTGCTTCATAATACTAAGAAGTAGATATTTAGAATTATTTAATATACAACTAGCACTGGTGTAGCCAAGGGAAGAGAGGGAGTTAACGGGTTATAACCCCTCCTCAAATGTTTTTCATATTTTGTAAGATATATAATCATTTTAAGACATACCTAAATATAATATTATATCATATTATCAAACAATTTACAATTTCAACAAACTAAATAATTAATAATTAATAATTTTATATTTTAACTTATGTTTAATGGGCTTATTAAAAATAAAGTTGGTACTTAATTAAGAGAGAAGATTGATTTTTAAAACATCCCCAAAATATTTTTCTGGCTGCGCCACTAACAACTAATAGTTAGTATGTAACATATTGGATTGCATTCCCAGTCATTTATATAAGTCTCGTTCTTTGAACTCAAATGACTCAAGAATGACAGTTTATCATTGCATACTGTATCATAAATACGTTAATTTACTATTAATTTTACTATAATTGATAAAAAAAAATTGATTCAATAATGGACTCAAAACCACGTTAAAACCCAATCTATTTTAGTTATAAAACATTTTATTGTTTGGATCGTGTAACAACAAATAAAATAACAACAATCATTTATTATTTGAATTCTTGTTCAGGTTTTTTGATTTGGTATTGTTAAAATCCGATTGACTGCCTTGATGGGGCTTTACCTCCCCATTTGGACGACGGTATGGGTTGTATTGATCTGGATTATCATGATCATAATGACAATCCATTGCTAAATATGAAAAAAAAATTAGAAATATTAGAAATTAGAAAAAATGTTGATAAAAACATTAATAGGCACTAGGGAAAATAGCATTTGATTGGGAATCATGGGCATCGCGAGAGGGGTGCACTTGCATCTCCTGGGTTAAAAAAAAATAAAAGAATAAAATTTAAAAATGTAGCAACTATTATTATTAACTATTATATTATATAAACTATCATTATTTTTATCTGTTTTTCAGTAGATTACATTACTTTGTAGCCGGTGGCGGCTCGTGCTATGGTGCTCAGGAGCACAGCAACCACCCAAAAAAATTATGTGCAATGTTATTCATTTCCTGTAGTAAATTATAATTGATATATATATATATAAATTATTATATAACTATTATATAAATTTATATAAATTATTATGTACATAGTCTATAATTTACAAAAACATTATTGCTTTTTTATGTTTTTTAGATTAAAAACTCAGTTAAGGAGCCGAATGGGGCTAAATAGATTGGCAGGACTGTCGATAATGTCATAATTGTCATATCGATTTGATAAAAATTGACGAAAAACCGATTTTGTTAAACAATTAATTGTACCCACTTGTTCGTTATTTGTATTATATCGGTAATTATTGAGTTAAAATAGATATCCTCCCCCCCCCCCATCAATACTGTCAAGGGAAGCGCCTAGGAGCACATATTCGTTGTTCCGGGTGGCCGAACAAAAATTACACGTCGGTTAAGTAATACATGGTCGTTTGGAGCACAATGTGTGCACCGGACTTAATTTTATCGTTCCGCATATCCAGGAACGTAGTTAAGGGAGGGCTAAGGTGTGCCTCTAGTCCACCCTAATGTGTCCGACCCACCCAAAGTATTCAGAGGGGCCCATTATTATATGATGGCTTTTAATTTTTACCAAATTTTTAATATTGACCAAATATGACGCAAACACAACCAAATATATCGGGTTTCAATTAGAATCTAATATAAGTAATGTAGGTAACTTGTAACTGAATTCAATCACGGACACTCGTTTCTGGAATAAAATATGTACGTATTATGTTGTTCCTACTATTCAATTATATTGCCTAACCAAGAATGGGTGATAATTTATTTTTAAAAGCCATATAATATTGTTCACAATCGATCAGAAAATAATTACTATTTAAAGCCTAATACCGGTACTGTACTACAATGCCACGTTATTCTTATCTAGACAATGACTATTGTTTACTTTTACGTCTATTTTTAAAATACTTTTGAGCGAGGGTATTGTCATTATATTGATTTATAAAGAAAGGCCCCACATTGAAAGCGTTTTATATGAAAATGATCCACGTAATTTGTACTTCTCGTGTATTGCATAGAACCAGGGCCTACAACAAGGGCACAATTCCTGGGAGAGCGCAAAAATGAAAAATTTAAAATTTAATTATTATAAGTTATAACTTATTACTATATAACTATTAGTTACTAAAATTAATATTATGTATTTATGTATTTACTTATATAACTCATAAATAATAATTATGTTATACCTATGTACTTACTTATAATGTATATTTATATTTTAATAAGCTATTGATTTAAATAAAATTAACAAACGCTTACATAATTATAAAGAAAAATCATTATTTATATTGCGTTTAAAAATGTATTCATTGTTTTTGTTAGTTTTTTTATAAATTAAAATACACATTTTGAAGTTTCGCCCCTAGCGCAATATTTGGTTGCTACGGCCAGTGCCGGCGCTAGGGGAGGACAAATAGGACATTTGTCCAGTGCCCCGCGCTTATTAAAGGACCCCATGATTTTTAATTATCATCTTAATACCGTGAGACACATTTATATCAACAAATTATAAATCTATATTATTCCTATCATCAGTAATTTGGAAAATGATATCTAAATTAGCCATAGTAAAAGTACTAAGTAAATCGTTATCAATACAACGAAAGCGTAATATTTTGACGAGTAGAATTCCTAAAATAAATAATAATATAAATATTTACTATTTTTATAGTTATTGTTTAAAATTCGAAGAAACAGTATTTTTTCAAAAAATCCTAATTTAAAAAAAAATTAGAATTTTGCCCCTCTCTGGGGACCTAAAAACTAATACCTATTTCCAGGGCCCCACAATACTAGCGCCGGCACTGGCTACGGCCCTGCATAGAACTACCGAACAAATCTGCATTATATTTCCAAAAGTCGATAATATGGTCGAAAATGTCAACGAAGTCTTTAAAAAAGACGCCTTATCGTGTTCTGAAATTTCATGTCGAGGCACTAAATATACTGATACCTCCCAAACCTATTTTTAAGCGTTAGGGGTACATAAATTTCTGTCGTAATTTATTGTAGTGCACCACTTCCAAACCAACAAATTGTCGACAGTTAGGTTAGTCAAGAATTATGCTCTTTCGCTTATATAATTATAGAAAAAAACTAAAAGAAAATTACTTTTACTTTTTAAGTTCAACAAATCATTTAAAAATAATTGAAATTAACATTTTTAAATAATTGTAATCTCAAAGCAAATATTTAATGTGGTAAAATAACATCGTGCAAAATTAATCTCAGAAAAGTACTTTTTTAACCAATATTAAATCTGTTAAAAATTGATATTAAATTAATTAATTAATTTTAAAATTTAAATTATCAGAGACCACTAGATTAAATTCAATTATTTTACAGAAAATGATTTGTATACAAATAGTTAAAAATTTAAAAAAAATACATAATCAGATAATGATAGGCAAATACTTACTAAACATACGTAGTACACAAATTCACTTATAATCACAAAACCATAAAAGACAAAAGAATAGTTGATAATGAACGAGTGCCATCGATCAGTCCCTATTTATATAAATTCGGAGTACTCCTCTCCATTGCGATCAAAACTAATGATAATATATATATAATATAATATAATATATAGTCGT